ACAGAAAAAAAATTGGTGGCTGGGTGTGTTCAAGCAAATTATCATTTCATATGGTGACATGCAAAGCAATTAATCAAGGAGAAAATGATGGTGATCACGTGAACTAGGCAGTGACACAGACCAGGCTCTCTGAACTGTCTGGGATCACAGTGAATGATCAATTCACATGAGCTCTATGCTCTAGGAAAAAGGCTGGAACACAGGAACACAGGAAAAGTAGTAACTTGTGATGCAGCATTGCTGAAAACTTCATATTGTGTCTCATCCCACAGTCTGTATCCAATGAAAAGGACAGGAAACTGAGAGAAGAGACTCACATAAATTATTAGAGTTATATCATAATATAACAAACTCACTCACTGATCAAAAATGGGATTTAAAAGTTGTCGTGTGTGCTTTTGAGCATCACATACAGCATGAAACTCGTTTGAGCAGAGGAAGCCCTGTCAGGACCCAGGGAGTGTAAGACAGATTCATGAAAATAAAAATTAGGCACAAATGTTCAAGGGTGTCAGGAGTGATGTACTATTGTCATAAATGATGGGGAAAGTGCAATGTGAAGTTCTGCCATAAAGTCTCTGAAGTCAGGAAACTGGGAATGAGAATTTTATGGTCACAATAAATCCACCTTTTGTGTTTGCTGTTCTTACATTACAGTCACGTACCAAGGTGTGACTGCTTCAGTAAATATTTAGATTGCCTACAGTTTTATAACAGGGGTCTTTAAAGAGCAGCAGTAATTATAACATGGCTTTGGAGCTGACAGGTCAGAAAAGGTGGGAGTTTACAAGCCTTTGGCTTGTTAATGGGGCTTGAGCACTACAGACAGCGTGGCTCAGACAATTTTTTTTCTTCCATTACAGGCCCTCTCCACACATGCATCTATAGGAACTGCCTTCTCCTTTTACTGGTTCAATTAATTACTAAGTTTGCTTTTGTTTTCTCTCCTGTGTTTGGGGTTTCCTACCAGTACTCCTGTGCTGACCAATTTGGCTACCCATAAAAGCATTCCTCTCTTCATCAGAACCTTCCAGGTTCTGTGGAAATGTGGGTTATCCCCACATTTTGAAACTGTTGCAGGCTCCAGCATGTGCTGGAGCATTTATGACTTTTCATCTCTGCCTTGTAAGCTGGCTATGAAGGGCTTTGAGGGAAAGCAGGGACAGTGTGACACTTCTTTCCCCCATTGCCCAAGTAAATGACAGACCAGCACAAGGAAAAAGTAGAGCTGTCCTGCCTTTGCATTGGAGATACTGGAATAAAATGCTTTTGAAAAGCAGCTTCCCTTCACATATTTAAGGAATTTGCCCTGTCTGGAGCTCTTTACAGAACTGCATCCTTCTGTTCTCCACTGACATCCAGCTTGTGGCTGTTTGAGTTTTCAGAAGAAATCTGTTTTGCTTTCTGCAATATCCTATTTTACTTGGGTACTGGGTCACCAGAATATTTCTATCTACTTCCTACTGCATTAATCTAAATAGGGTACTGGTCAGATGAAAGATCACAGTCATTGTTTAGCTATTGCAGTAGCCAGGAATTGGGGCAACGGTACAGAAACCCTTTTAGGGTGTCAGTAAAGATCCTAAAGATCTTCTACCTCAGATCATGGTCATGATCAGCTAATGAACAACCAGTTATTCATGTGGTCCTCCTAAACTACATGCAGGGAGTTGCTTTGTAAAGCTGTTAAATCCCCATGCTCTGTTACCAGCTAAAGGTTTCTACTGATCTCTTACTTTCATTTCCTTTAATGAAAATTCATTGGTATTTGATTTCCTTGTCACTTCTAACAGCTGATAAGAACAAGCTGCTAAAGCACTCCAGTGAAGTGACAGAAGCCTGGTGTTGTAGCACTGCAGCTCTCTCAGAAACATGGCCAAGGCAGAGTGAAACCCCAGTGTGACATGTTGATAACGTTTTCCCATCAGGAGGTCTTTTCAACTGGCTCTAAAATGTCAAGTCTGAGGGAAATGTCTTTGTTAAGCTTTGAATGACCTACTTTTGGGTATCTGGGAATAACCAGGAGCCTACCCAAACCACAAGAGTGCATCTAATTTTAGCAGCCTTTCATTTCATGCGTGCCAGCTTTTGTGTTCTGCATCTCCGGGAAAAAGCATCAATTTCTTGCTGAGCCAGAGACAAATTTCATTGGTTTTAAATCAGCCCCTTGTCAAGACACAATCACAGTGAAATCATTCCCCTTAAAGTTTTTGAGCCTGTAATAGTCATCTCAATTTTGCTTCAAAAACTAATAGTGAGCCCATTCCAATGGATCTACAGTTGGTGGTCTCTGAAGAAAAGGTCTAAAGAGCCCATGCTGGAGATGTTCCTCTGTTTAGATGGGCAGCTGCTGGGCAGCTGTGTTTGGTGTGTTCCCACTTCACCCAGGTTTTTAATGGACCAATAGTAAAAGGGTTGGGTTCTCTGTAGGAAGTTTCTGTGAGTCTTCTAGCTCAGTTGTAAGGGAATCTAGGGAAAGTTAAGGACAAAAACAAAGGGATGTTAGTGTGCCAGCAGGGGCTCTGAAGACATTACTAGTGATGTAAATGCTGGACAAAAGGTCTCTGACATGTTTTGGATGGAAGAAACACTAAAGAGTATGTGACCATTGTTAGGGATATCAGTGCTGTGCAAGATTGAAAGGAAGCAGTTCAGATGTGAGCGAGGTATAGTCTCCCTAGCTTGTAATACCTAAATTGGACATTGAACACTGTTTCTCTTGCTGGGAGGGATAACATGTAATCCCTCGCATATAATGTCAGAGTCCACTGTAATTTCAGACTAAAACATGTGTTTAAATCCCACCCACACTGGACCAGTGGAACTAACACAGAGAATAGTAGGGACTGAGTATTGTAGATGTTTATTTGGAACTTCATAAAACAGAAATCAAGGCTACACAAAATAAAGTGGCATAATCACAACAAACCTATTAGCAAGTTCTCTGGAGCCAGAAAACTTCCCAGCCGATGGGATTAGCCATAAGAACAAGCAGCACCTGCTGGCAGCTATAAACAGGGTCGGTGTAGTTTGGGATTGAGCTGAGTATCTGGTAATGTGGAGTCCCTTGAGGCTGGCAGTGGGTTGCCTCTTCAGAGGCAGCTGTTGACAATGTATTTGTGATCCCTGCTTGAAGAGGCCTGGGAAAAACAGGCAGAAGGGCTGGGCTGTGAAGCACTTAATGATGAGAGATGTGTTGAGTTTGGTAGAGGTGTTTGTCTCAGGACAGCTTGGTTTGGCCATAAAGGCAAACAGTTAGGAAAGGTGTTCATGGAAATACTTTCCTTAGACTCAAGTGGTGGTTTAAAAGGCCCGTGTTTAGGGTTAGTGTTGGATTTGGAGAGTTTCTGGTCTGATGATCTGCTGAGGACAAGCAGGGAGTGACCAAGAATGAGGATGCAACAACTCTAATCCCCAGTTCACTGATCACAGAGTGGCAAGCTGCTGCAGGGACTCTGCTATGCTTCCTGGAAGAAGTAGCCTTTGTCTCAGAAACAAGAAGTGAGAAAATATTTGTACCTGAGCCTCCGAGCTGTTCAGGGGCTCTCAGCTGCCTACGTGGTCCCACTGGGCAGTGGATCTTGCACTCGTTTTCAGTGTCTTTTTTTCTGACTGGTTTTTCAATGTGTAGCAAATACAAGGAAAAATAACTTGAAACAAATATTTCCTGTTCTGTGGTATTTAACAATGAAATTGTAAACCACAGAAGAGATTGGGCTTGATCTAAAGGTCTTTGAAGTCAGCAGAACTATTTCCACTGATTTCAATGTGCTTTGGGTCCAGGCCATGGAGGAAGAAAGCAAATGTTTTCTGCCTCAAAAAGTATTAACCATTGACATTCAAGAAACAATGAAGTCTTAAGTTTAAAATGTCTTCCATTAAATAAAGTGTCAGAAACTTAGTTAATTTCTATCTTCTTCCTAATAATTTGTCACTATTACACTAAAAAGGAATATGTTTATAGAACCCATAATCATACACTGAGAAGGAAAAAAACTTAGTACTGTCATTTGTTTCCTATCTTCTTCCATTCTGTCCTGAGTGTATTGTATTTCTCACTGATGTAATGATGCTTATGCTGGCTCTTATCACAGATTGAGCACTGTAGATTTCCAGTTGAACTAAACTTCACTGTAGTGATGGTGACAGACAAATATATGAAAATATATTTTTCAGTATAATCTCTTAAACTTCACGGTGGGTTTGGTTTTGTTGTTGTGTTGGTTTTGTTTGCTTTTTCTTTTTTTGTGAACTGAGAAGAAATAGGTCAGAGACAGAGAATTTGGTAAGAATTGTTCTTCTGGGAGTGGTGTAGGGGATGCCTCTCCTATCACAGGAGGAGACAAATAAGGGTGTGGAGCAGCTTCATGTGTAAAATCAGCAATGGTTTTGCCTGCAAATTTTGTCCCACACAGCTATTAAATGCAAGAAAAGGAATCTATCTGCCAGCTGCCTAGTGCCCAAGGATGCTGTCCTTGTGAATCAGCAGCCCTGTCAGGATGTCAGAAGGCCATCCTGAGTCTGGCAGACGACAGCAGCCCACCAGGGTGTGTGTGCTGGGCTTCCTGTCACGCAGCAGCAGAGCCTGAGCAGCTGAGTTTGCCTGTGCACCAAGCCAACCCCATCCAGCTGTGAGCAGCCAGGGAGGAGATCCCAGCCTGGAGAGCTGCAGGAGAGGACATGACTCTGTTGTCATGGCCAGGCTGCATTATCTGCACAAAGAACCAGTGAACTGGCATCAGCTGGAAGATACAGCAGGAGAGGATTAAAGCTGATGCAGAAAACAGGAGAATATGAATGAATGACATTTTTCAGCCTTCTTTAGTGATGGCAATGACCAGCCATTGTGCATGTTACAATGACAAGAATTTTTCAGTGAGAAGAACTTTTCAATGAGACCTTCACATTTCAGGGTACTTCTATGAAATAAACTTGTCTTTTGATACCAAGCTTTGAAATGTCACAGAATCACAGAATATTCTGAGTTAGAAAGGACCCACAAAGATCACTGAGTCCAGCTCTTAAGGGAATGGCCCATACAGAGATCAAACACACAATGTTGGTGTTGTTAGCACTGTTCTTTAACTAGCTGAGCCAGTGCATCATTTGGAGTTTATCAGAGTTTAGAACAGAGTTCAAAGAGAAGAAACCAGGATGGAGTTAAGAACTTTCTTCCAGTTTGTAAGAGCCATTGTTTACATTCATGGGAATACCATGAAGCAAGGCAAACATCACAGAATTTTAAAAAATGTGTGTGTTTTTCTAAGCATCTGATAGCAAGCATAGTACTGTTTGTACTGAAGTATGGGTGCTGCCAACCAGAGTCTGTCAAGAGAACTGTTCAGCTTGAATTTTCTCCTTAGAAAAAGTCCTCTTTCTCCTCTATATATATTTCTTCCCTCTGCAGAGCTGCACTAATTCAAGTTGCATAAATTGCAACTTAACAAGAAAAGAAGAAAAATCTAACAAAGAAAGGATTATTAAACCATTTTGTTTTCTTTCAGATGAGAATTCTGGGTCCTTTGGGCTGTCAGTCTGGGGCATCATGGTCTTAAGCTGAAAAGTCACGTAATCAAAAATGTAGATTTTCTGAAAGGGTATCTTACAGAAGACTGTCATTTCCATGGGTTATATCTATGTTTTGGTAAGTGTTTTAAAGCAATTAGAATAAATGGCATATGGCAAAGCTTTCATATTTTTATATATTAATGATTAACTGACTTCCTACCTCTTTGTTGACTTAGTGGGAGAGTGACAAGGAACTGAGAGGTACCTATTTGGTAGCGTAACAAGTTGGACAATTTGCACGGGCATTTTTTTCCACCTCCCTTTTGGATCTTGCTTCATCCAGCTGACACTGCTTCAAAGCCTTAGGCAGCTCTCAGACTCAGAGAAGTAAGTTCCCCCTTTTTTTTTTTTTTAATATTACTTATTTTATGAAGTGCTGATAGAGAACAGATGGGGAGAGATTTAAGTATTTATTTCTTTTCTATAAAAAATGCTTTCCTAACTGGGAATTGAAGAATTAAGTTTTCAAGCATTAAATCATAGAGATATTGCTAAGAAGAGACCTTTGTAATTACTATACTTTGGGTTTTTTTAAATTCCCTTTTTGCTGAAAGACTTACATTAAACAAAGGATTTGGCTAGTAAACCAAATAAAAGTCCAATAAAGCTGCATCTAGGCTATAATACTTTTCAAAAGCAGGATTCGAATGAATTGATTTAGAAATGCCTGTTGATTAGAAATGCCTGTGATGCCTGGCATCATCTAATTCAAAAATATTTGCTTAAAACATGAAATAAGTGAAACAATTTAATTTCTGCTTACGTGGGCTGGGAAAAATAATTGTATGCTTATTTTATATAAGAAGAGTTTATCATGAACTTTCCCTTTAAGCCAGTTACAAGCTGCAGTAGAATTCCTAGTTTTTTGGCAGGCGAGTGGGTTCAGACAGGGAGACTCAGACATCCAGTGTTGGAACATTTTTTAGTGTATTTTATTTTAGCTGTGCTATCATTTACTAGGAAGCAAGTATAGTCTCCTATCCTTTTGGAAAGCTCTCCTTGCACCCACTTCCTCCCATGTATGAAGGAAACCTCACCAGTAGGTTGCTGTGAGCAGGCTCGGTGCTTTCCCCCTGCCCCTTCCTTACATGCCCTTGGCTCAGGGGATGCTCCTGCCTCCCAGCCACTGCCTGTGCAGTGCTTTCAGGCTGACATTCAAGTTTCTTCAGGAGTTCTAAATTTCTCCTGCAGCTCCAGGAAGCTTTAGTTGCTGTTTTTTTGGCTGGGAGGTGTGACATCTTGGGTGACATCTTCCCATGCCCCGGGTGTGTGTTCAGTGCCCTCATCTTCCCAGTTGTGTGTGAGTTCTCTGGGACCTAGATGTGGTTACCTTATTTACACTACTGAACCCTTTTGCTCTTTTAGCTGTGCCAGACACCCAGAGCAGGCAAGTTTTTGGGTTCCCTCTGCTTGCTGAAGCTTCCTGAAAGGATCCCATCTCAACACAGCCAGGTTATCTGCCTTAGTTTTTCAGGGGCTGTCATTCCTGGAATGTCTCTAAAGTGTTCCACTTTGGCTCCAAATGGAGCTCCCTTCAAGACAGAGACAAAACAATCTGTAGCAGCTCTGATAATATGGGGTCATCTGGGTCCATCTCACTGCCTACCAGCCTCCAGTTTCCTTATGTAACAAGAGTTCAGGATGGGCTCAGCCACAGAAAAGCAAATTAGGGTGTGAAAAAACCAGTGAAAATATATAGAAATTATCAGTTTCATTTTGTCCTATTATCAAAGCAAATAAAAACATTTTCCTGAAATAAGCAAAGGACTTTTACACAGCTAAGTTTCAATGTATTCTTACTTGATGGAAGAGAAATGAAGATTTGGTTTTGCTTTAGCTTTCTTGTTCTGAAACATAGTGAATAAATGGAAGCAGCAGAGATATAACATTGGACACTGACATTTGGAGGGACAGGGGACATAAGGCATGTTAAATCTGGACATACCCTACAAATCTGGACAATGACTTTTAAGACTCTAGACCCCCCTAGTTTGTCTTTTTTAACTGAAAATAAGTATGTGACAGCTAAAATCTAAACATGAGATATCAGAGTTCAAGACTTTGTGAATGTCAGGGAGATGTATTCAAGGAATGGGTCATACATAAATGAAGCTAATTTTATTTCTAGGACAATAGGAACAAAAGAACTGCCACAGTGTCTATTTGAAATGTCTGTTAAAGAAGGTAGGAATAGACTGATTTGTCCAGTGGTGGCTGATTTATCCTGGACCACAGCTAGTAGATGGCTTTAAACATAAAGCTGTCCTTTGGCCAGAGCTGTGCTGAAACAGTGGTGGCAGAAGGATAAAAAACATTTCTGAAGCTCTCTTCTACACACATCCAAACTCAAGGATCCTAAGGCATGAATACAGTCTTTGAATATCATGTCAAAGATCATGCAATTTGTGTAAGACTTCCACAGATTTCATGACAAGACCCAGCTCCATCTCACATTTCCCTGCAGTTCCAGTGTTTGAGATCTTATGTTGGTGACTGGCCTATCCAGCTCTGCCTGCTCCCAGAGGGGTAGGAGACACTGCAGAGGGGATGCTGCTGCTGGGGAATGTATTACCCAGCACACACCAACCAAAGGACCTCTCCTAAATGGCAAACTCCCTTCAGTGCCTCTGAAAGCTGCAGCCCTCTTGTTCTCAACCCATCATATGAAATGATGAATTTAAAGACAAGTCTGGTAGGTGATTGTGTGGCTGGGGACACTTCCTTATGCCACCCTACCATCTGGACATTTGTCCCTGGCACAGGCCTTCATCTCCCCAGGAAGGAGCCTGAGACCCAGTAACCTGAAGGGCCCAATTATATTTAAATGCATGAATTAAGAGAGTTTGATAGCTTCTTTTCTCTCTTGCATTTACCTACAGGGTTTTAAGTATCTGTTTCAGGAACAGGGTGAGTTTTAGAAAGCAGATCTGAAACCCAACAGATGCATATAGACTACTGAATGTAATTAAAACAGCTTTCTGGAAGACACAGTATTAGAAGTGAAATGCATGTGGTGTAAATGAGGTTTCTCTACCCTCAGAATTGATATCACAGCCCCAATCTTTTGTTACTAACAAGTACTGGAAGTAAAGAAGTGTTGACAAAATTTCAAGTTTCTCCATTTCTCCATTTCTGTTTTTTCCTGCTGCTGAGAATATCAGGAGGTGGGACTGTGGCCACAAATAAATGATCTATTCAACTGCAACATTTTGTTTGTCTTTTTAAAGGTAAGCCTGAAGCACAGATGACCCAAATCCCTCTCTATGAAACCACTTGGCAGTTGTGAGAGCAGCTTGCTTTTATTTTTTTCTCCTAGAAGCAAGCTTGCAGCTGTAGAAAAGTCAACATGGCTTGCAGGCATCCTCTTCGTTTCTTGAAGCTAAGAGTGGGAAACTCATGCTTTTCATAAAGAAAAAGAGCTACTCACTGTGCCATACTTAATTGAAGTAAAATCAGTAATAAATACAAAAGGATCCTCCAAGTTTCTATTTTTGGATGAATACACTGACATGTATCATCTTTTACTAGTAACTTCTGTCTTCTCATTGCAAATTTGCATTGAATGCTAACAAATTTACATTTAATATGCACCCCTATGAAGACAGGCTGTGAAAGTTGGGGCTTTCAGCATGGAGAAGAGAAAGTTGTGTGAGGAGCTCATAGCAGACTTCCAGAATCTGAAGGGAGCCCACAGGAAAGCTGGAGAGGACTCTTTGTCAGGAACTGTGATAGGACAAGGGGGAATGGCTTCCACTGAAAGACAGTAGGCTTAGATTAGACATCAGGAGTAAATTCGTTATGTGAGGGTGGTGAGGCACTGGAACAGATTGCCCAGGAAAGCTGCAGACTCCTCATCCCTTGAGGCATTCAGGGCCAGGCTGGATGGTGCTCTGAGCAACCCGGTCTGGTGAGAGCTGCCACTGCCCATGGCTGGGGGATTGGAACAAGATCTCTTTAAGGTTCCTTCCAGCCCAAACCATCCTATGATTCTGTGATGCTGTCTTGCTTTTACTTTAGTTAAAAACATATATGTGAAGGAAAACCCTTCCAAATGAAGGAAATGAAAGATATATTTAGAGAGAAAATGGCTGCCAGGTGAGAAGCCTGTAGAAGCAGTTCTCTGTTTTTTAGCTACTGTTTCTAGGCTTTCCAAAGACAATCCCCAGAAGCTGCTGGGCTGCTTGTTGGACTGAACTGAGTAGATTTTAAATGAAAGTACAGATGAAATCATGGGACACTGAAAGATGCCACTCAAAACTACTTCTCACTTCTTTCACTGAATAGGGTTTTCAGTCAGGATTTTCACCCACTGACAGACGCCACACAGACCTGGCTTGTTCCTGCTGGCCAGGTTGCCCTTGTAGGCTGACTCCATCCCGTGAAGTCTGCAAAGTTGGAATGCTGAAATCTGCAGCTCTGAGTGAGCTCTTGAATCAGGAAATGCATGCCAGTGACAACACCTAATTACTCAGAAGATCTCCTGTAACTGACTGAATATGAGTTCATTTGCCTTGGGACATTTCATCTAGTGATTGTGTTACATCATTGTATTATTCAGACCATATAGGTAACCCTACTACACCAATTAAATTAATTCAAAATATTTATGTAATTACTAAAGCATGAAACTAGCCAGTGCTGTCTGTGTTAGCACAGCCTTTGTGACCTGGGCTTTGAACTGTTTTATCCAATTATTTGAGCCAGGTTCAGCACCTGCATCACCCACCTGCTGTGGATACAGACTTGTGCAGGGTCATCCCAAGGTCCAGCTGAGGCAAAGGCTGACAAAGCCCTGACCCAGGCCCTGTTGTAAATCCCAGCCTGTTATGATCTACCTTCCCTCCCTCCTTTCTTTCCTCTTGAGCTCTCACAGCAAGGGAGTCGCTGGAATGGCTGAAATCCTGGAGGACGACGCCCTCTGCAGCTCGCTCCCAGTTTTATTTGGCATCTGCAAGAGAAAAAGTCGTTTGGGGATTTTTTGGAAGTGCTTGCCACTGTAGTTCTGAAAAATCAATGTATCTGTCTACACTTGGGAGAAAAGGAGTTTCCCTGATCTTCTTTGCCCAAACGTTTCCTTTAAAATCAATGCTTCTGACAAGTGATACATACCTGTTGTCTCTTCATTATGACAGCAAAACCTGTAGTATGTTTATTAGTATTCATAGTTATGGACTGGAACCAAGAACCAGAACTTTTTTGAAAAAAAAAAAAATTAACATGTCTTCATGCATAAAGAAAAATCCTGTAACTATTTTACCTTGATATTTGGTCCTTATTTTCATGCTGAAGCTCAGTACCAGGAGGTCATTAAGTATAGACTTCTGTTTGACTTTCCAAAATAGACAAGTATGAGAATTTTAATTTAATTTAATTTAATCATCGACTTCAAAAGTACTTCTTTTGAACCTTAGTTTTTCTCTAAGTCAGTGATACCAGGCTAGATCAAATGTGTTCCAGCGGGCAGGGTGTGGAGAAATGAGCCAAAATGAATCATTTCCTACATAAGCAATTTTTTGTATGTCTAGACACCTGATAACTCATCTAAAGCCCATCTTGTTAGCTGCTTGTTCTTCAGTGTTCTCAGAACTTTTCTATAAGCCTTAAGTTCTTTCATTCCGTGTGTTTGATTGTTCTGTGTTTTTTTGAGAATCATAAAGGGGAAAAAAGATCTTTCCCTAATTTTTAATTTTATAATGCAATTCTGGACATGATTCTAAGTATCTCAGCACATGCAGGCTTGATAGTGGGCTCAGAATTACATTTAGTCTCATTTAATTCTGTGAGCAGACAGTTGGGTACATTCAACCAATAAAGTTATATGCTGATAATGCACTCTGAAAAGCTCTTGATGATAAGGATTCACCTGCTGACATATCTTTTATGACCTTGATATCAGCAAGTTGTTTAAATGAATGTTTATGATGTACACAAGAAGTGTTGCAGACATATGGGCTCTAGACAAAATGTTATCTTTATGTGGTTTGGCTTCTCTCTGATGCACTGATTCCAAGAGAAGCCGAATGGAGTCAGCACAGGACTCCTCTGCTTGTGCTCTTTCCTGTCCAGCACCTTCCTGTCGCTGGACAGGAACAGAAATAATTCTATTTTGAGGTGGAACTGGGACAGAAAGAGGGGCTCCGGTGCTCCATGCCTGGTAAAAACATTTAATTAGAAAGAGGGGTTTATAATCATTTTGTAAATGACCCAGCAAATTCATGAAAGTGTTTTAATTGGTTTCAGTTCAAGTAGATAAAAATACAAGAGAAAGAGACTCTTCCAGAGTAATTTTCTCCATGCTTGAGAAGATTAAATGTGCACTTGCAATAATGGAGATTAATATATCCCACAGGAAATCAGTCCTATTGGAGATACATAGATGAACTGATAGGCCAAAATGATAAAATTGCAGATGTTGCTGTGTTTGTCTGGCATCAAAAATCACTCTGTCCCATCCTCTCATGGCTGGCATCACCTTCAGGACTGAAGTAAGTATGTAGTGGGTACTGGTATGAGAAGATAGACACTATTTGCTTAAGGCCTTATTGTTGTGAACATATTTCTTTTTTAAGATTTCCACAGGTGGATGCAACTAGATTGTATTGCCAGCTGATTCTGGTTACCTTGAGATCAGTAAACAGAAGAATTGTTACTTTAGTCTTTAGAGTCTTTACTTTAGTGGGCAAAACATGGTGGCAGACATATCTTATTAGAATCAACTTGGTACAGTATTTCTCCAGTCTTGAATGAAATAGGAGCAGTAGAAGAAGTATTTTAGAAAACTTATGAAATACACAGATCCCTAGAACCTGTCAGATTTACATAAATTAGGGGCCACATCTTCACTTATCACAGATCATTCCTATAAGTATTCAATAAATTGTACAAAAGACATGGGCAATTAAATGTTGATTTGTTTCTTCTTTTTTCTTTTCTTTTTTTTTTTTAATACAATAAAACCCTAATTTGCACTCAGAATGTATAGTCAGCATACAAATCTTAAATCTGAATAAAATATTTTCCATCACAGTTTAGGATGATTAAAACTGGGCAAACTGGGAAATTTATAATAATTATAATATTATATATATATAATTTATAATAATTATAAGTGGGATTTGCAAAAAGGAGATCTTTAGGGGGGCTGTTTAGAGATTCTTTCTCCTCATGTGATACCATGACAAATACAGAATTAAAACCTGTATGTTATTTGTCCATGGATATTAAATTTCAGCAGTTCATTAAAGTTGGGGAAAGATGACTACCATCTTCCCTCCACACAAACATTTTCTTTTTCACTGACAGGTTCACCTATTTACCCAAATAATAATTGCCTCTGTCACTTTATTTTTTGTTTCTTTGCAGTGCCTCTCTCTCTTCACATGGCGACTGTGTCTGTGACAGAGCAGGAGAGCTGCAGAGGATGAGCTCCCTGGTCAGCACCTCACACCTCCAGCTTGCTGCCTTTGCTCTGGGCACCATAGGCTGGATCCTGTGCACCGTTTCCATGGGAATTGTGGAATGGAGAGTGTGGCACGTGGACAACACCACTGTCATCTCCTCTGGCATTGCCTGGGTGGGGATTTGGAAAGTCTGCTTCATCAGTTACCTTCATGTCTCACCTGGCTATAGAGAACAGTTTTGCCATAAATTCAGTGGCTATGACTCCTTCGTCCCCTATGAAATTTATGTTGCTCAGGGTCTCATGTTGATTGCCATGTTCATGGGCTTGCTGGGACTGGCTGCTACAATATTTGCTCTGAGAAATGTGTATATGGGAATCACTCACAAAACTCTCATTGCCCCTTTCTTCCTGGTGGGTGGCTTCTTGTACATATTTGCTGGTCTGTGTGTCCTGATTCCCGTGAGCTGGAATTTCTATTCTGTAGCTCACAACCAGAGCATAGCTTTTCCTCCTTCTTACTACATGCCTTCCAGTCCAGAGGCACAGGAAGCTGGTGCTGCCATTCCTGTTGGGATTGTGGCTGTCATCCTCCTGCTGCTAAGTGGGACATTTTCTCTCTCATACAGATTTCCCATGACTGCCAACACTATCACGAAATCCTGACAGGACAAATCTCCCATGCTATTTCAGAACAAGAGCATAGTCAAGAGATAAGGACAGCAGCATGAGTGGTTGTAAAGTTAAGGAACTGCAGATTTTAATTTTATTCTATAGTAGCCATGCTATTTTCCTATATGAACCAGTTGAGTCGCCATCTTAGTACTGATTACCTATTACCAGAGGTTTGTTTTTGAGATAATTGCTGTTGAGCAGCAAATGTGATTAAATTTTGCCAGTCGTCCTCTTTTGTATATACAAACATTACTGACTAATTTATTTTTTTGGTGTAAAATACTTACTATGCTAAAAGAGCTGACTTTGAACTGTCCTGTAAGAAAAATGTGAAGTAACATGTATTAAATGTGAATTTCTTTCCTTGTGGTACAAAACTCTTTTGTTGTCTATTTAGTTACATCTGTAGCAAAGTATGTTTCGTGACAAGTCAAGACTTTTAAAACCAATAATATGATTTTCATCATGGTTGTGTCAAATGACTTTTCCCTGAATTGTCTTACAAATGTCTTGCCAGATTCTCCTCTTCCTCTAGGGCACATAAAGAGCCATTCCTTTATTGCTTCTGTTTTTCTTTCAAGCTATTTGCATTTTATGTTGCAACATGTTTGCCTGTGGGGAAGGTGTGCTCCTTAGTTCCTAACTGAGGCAGAGCCAAAAAGTCTGCAAGTGTTTGCTTCTTCATCTGACACTTCATTGAATCTAAATGTATTGCAAAAGACGGAAATAACTTGTACAAGTTGTTACAAAACCAGTGTCAAAATCAGTACTCTCAGTAACCAGGAATACTCAGTGCAACTTTCAGGTATGATTCATCTGATGTAGAAATCTGTCAGTCACTTCAGGTGCTGTTTATGATCAGTGTAGAGACAAAGAGTGCCTTCTTCCAAGATGCCTAGAATGGCTGGGAGATTACAAGCTCCCTAAAAACCTTCTCTTAACTCACTGTAATAGCCATAGTAACCACAGTTGCTAACTGTGGCACATATAACCAAACTTCACCCAAGAAAAAAAGAAAGAAAAATGGTTCAAATACTGCACTAAGGGCAATTTAAAAAAAAAGAAAAAAGTTTAGACATTTGGAGGAATGAACCAACAGTATTGACAAACAGATGATCTCTTGAAAGAGGTCCTCAAAATATTGTTGCACTTTTAAAAAATGCTACAGAAATCTAAGTAATTTAGTCTTACTCTTTTAATTGTCCTCCATTTTTAAAAAATACTCATGGAATCAGAGAAAGAAGAAAATATTTTTTTTTTTAATGTAATAATTTTTGCAAGAGAGGGCAAAATGCCAACAAACAAGGACATCTTGCTGGTGGCTGTTACTACCCCAGCTTGTTCTAGAGGTCTGATTTTTTCCTACGCATCTTCCCTTGGGCTTGACTTTGCTGTACTGTCTGACAATATAGGGACCCCACAGCACTTTCATTTTCTCTCCAGGCCCTTCTGAAACAGCAGATTTTCTCATCATTGGTACTGTTTTCATTGCTGCAATGAAATAATCTATCTTATGACTTTTATGATGTTGTAATATAATTTCAAGTGATGTTTCAATGAAGGCAGTTTAATAGCTCATTTCTTATATATTGTTTCCAGTTTGGTTCCTAAAGTACATTCTTTACAATGTTGGTAGGTTTTAGTCTTAAAGGTAAAAATCAGTAGTACTGTCATCTCTTCCCTCAGAGCCTTCAATAATATTAGATTATATCATATTATATTTGTAAGGAAAAAGAAAAATATCTATCCATGTGTTTATGCCACTAGTAAACTTATTACATTAGTAAACTATCAATATTCCCTGGCAAGTAATTACAACTTTAAGAGAAAATTAAAGTTTTTTGAGTTAATATATGCACAGAAATATCAGCAACCCCAACTGTATTTGTTTACTATATTCACTAAATCATTGGGTTCATTTGGCTAAAGAAAAAGGAACAAACATCATCAGGGACATGCCAAGTTTCTGTGTTGCTGCTACTGCTGTTTCCACTGGGAATTATATTCATCTGTACCGATGTGTGGCTGTGAAACGCTGGTTGTGTGCTAAACACAGACTAGATGGTGAGGAAATTCCTCAGCTAACCACTGGAACAGATTACCTAAGGAGATGTGTGGATTCTAAAATAAAGTTTTATCAAAAAAAGTTTACACAAATAGTGCCAGGAAGACTGTAGGTGTATGAGTGAGCCCATCTCAGGACAGAGGGCTTATCTAGATGGAACTCTTGGCATCCTTTTCCAGTCTCTCCATAGTCACATTATCCTGATTCTATGTTGATATATGTTAAAATGTAATTATTTTCAAATGCTAGTATTTATTAAAACTCCAAGTCCCTCTCTGAAGGAAAGACAGGGAAAAAAAAATCTTACAGAATTATGGAATCATTTAAGTTGGAAAAGACCTCTGAGATAATTGAGTCCAACCTTTGGTCATCACTTTGTCATTGGCACTTTGGTATTGCTATGTCCAGCTCTTCCCTGAACACGTCCAAGGATGGTGACTCCACCACCTCCCTGAGCAGCCCATTCCAATGCCTGACAACCCTTTCAGTGGAGAAGTTCCTGCTGATGTCCAGCCTGAACCTCCCCTGGCACAGATGTTTCCTCTTTCCCTGTCACTGGTAGCCTGTGAAAAGAGATTGACCCACATGGCTACACTGTCATTTAAGGGCGTTGTAGAGAGTGATCAGGTCACCCATGAGCCTCATTTCTCTAGGCTAATATTAGGTCACAACAAAGGAGAGGCAAAACTTCCATTGATTTAAATGCATAGAGCCTGTCTTACCTTGATCCATCAGAGCAGTGTGATTCATTAAATGGTGAATGTTTGTGTTCATTACAATTTTGATATTGGAGGAAAGTAGAAGCTTTGAGCTTTTCCTTCACCAGCACGGTGGCATCGTTTCTTAGTGTATATTTCCATGACACATTTGTTTTAGATTTGTGAAGCTAAGTTACCATTCAATAGGTCAGTTTGTTACCATATCAGGTGTACTTAGGGATACTTTCAGGGGTTGTCTGTAAAATCAGGCAGCTGAAATGGTTTTAGTTTAAAACTCAAAAATGCAAAATTATTTTGGAAAGCTATTTTTAGCCTAGACTGCTTTAGGAACCTACTCAATAGCCTGGCCCCACACTCATTTGTAGAAGCACAATTGAGGACAGGCAGGAAGCTATAATGTAGGCAGGAGTGAGTTGCCAGAGCTGTGAGGTAGAGAGATAAGGGGCAAAATCCTCCTAAATAAATTTCACCACAGAATAGATCATATCGTGAAGCTCTGTCTCCAGCTTCAGTGCAAACTGGGACCTGCTCCCTCCCCAGTGACAGCACCGCTCGCCTTGTGGGCTCCACCCTGTCTAGGAATGTCTCCACACTGGCCTCAGTCTACACATAAACCAGTCTCGCTTTATTTTTTCTGAGCTGACAATAAACAAGTACCTTGTGATTCACTCACATGTCTGAATTCACTGCTGGGAGAATAATTTGAATACCAAGGCTCCCTTTGAGTTCTTCTGGGTGATAATGATAAGGCCCCCATCTTTGACCTCCATAACCCACTCCTTGGCATTAATCTTCCACACAATGCATTTTCTTAATTTTATTTGCATGTACCATCTACCTCACCTGTTCATTCATGGCCACAGACCAAAAAAATACATGAATATACTTTCAATATTCCTCTAGGATGGATGATGACAGCACAAAGCCTGCTGAGATTTCCCCCCCAGATGAATATGTAATTCAGAACAACTGTCACTTGTGTTCAGGTAAAGGAAGCAGGATGAACTGGAGACATTGTAGTTCAGAGTAGGTCATTAGATTAGTCAGGTAAACAAAACTTTTATTTGAGTCAGCAGTTCTATGTGAAGACAGTCTCAGTTGCAAATTTAGCTGATTAAAAACAATGCTGGGCTCAGAAAGAAATGTCTTTGTTGTCACATGCCTTATGGTATATTACAATGATCAGAAGGAGGGTGTTTTCTTTCTCATTTTTAGACCCTCAACCAATTTCCCCTTAGAATGGAAAAACTGAAATGTCACAGGAAATTTCCTCCTCCTTGAGCCATTAAATACTTTAGGACAAAGAGGTTTTGCTTAAAGAATGTAAGTCTGGCTGGCATAGTGTTAATGGCAAATTGTTTTCTTAAAAAAGGAAACCAATGTACATTAAATTAAATGTCCCAGAAGAGACATGTTCTCTGTGAAAAATATACCTTTTTCAAAACTGAACTGGGATTCTTTTCATTCTTGCCAGCATCTGTATTGTCCAATCCAGTATCAGCTCATTAAAACATATTTTTCAACTGACCTATTTCCTTTCCACTGCTCAGATAATTTACTGTTTCCCTTGCTTGAGAAGGTTCAATAATTAGCTGGGTTCTTTGGAGTGTGCTGGTTGTTAATTACTGTGTCAAAACCAACTGCATGCCAAACAAGACAATGTAAGTGAATCTCAGAATTATAAACCAAATAAATACTGTCTCAAAATTTGGAATGCCATACATGCAATGTTAATACCCAGTTTACAGAACGTCACATCACTGCCTTCCTCTCAGGCTATATGCTGTAAAGACCAAGTATGAGGTTAATTCCCAGGATGCTATTTTTGAAGAAGCTCATACATTCTTGCTGTCCAAGGTTACTTCATTGCAGTGCAGGCGATTTTCAGCAGCTGAATACATGGCCCCATTATAATATAAATAGGGAAAGGTAAAAAAAATAGATCTTGGTCTGAATTAACATTACCAAAATATTACCAGATACCCAAGATCAATTGATGAGAAAAGTTTGTACATGCCCACCCAGTTTGCTCCCACAGCCTCAGGAATGACACTGCAAGTAGGTGAGATAGCATGCGAGAGACAGAATGTGAGGCATTCACGGTACCCACAACTATGTAGGTGCATTGCAGCTGCCAGCTGGCTGAAATTGAGGGGGTGTGGGGGAAATCCCTTCAACACCAGAAGTGCTTAAAAAACTCTGAAGACTACAGAACTAGAAATGAAGCATTCACTGGTTGGGGAAGAGATTTGAAATATTGGTGTTATTGCTGAACAGTTTGAAGGTATGGGAATAAAATGGTCTCTTACAGAGACAGATGAAACACCTCCACAAAACAATATGGAGATGTTTCATCTATCTCTCTAAGAACTTCATAATACCCAGTAGCTATCCCTGGCTAAAAAAAAGGACTAGATCTTGAGAGAATTTGAAATTGTTTAAAGCCAGATCCCTATGATCTATATGATCTCTATATGATTTATCCATATAATGTTTTTATCATCCACTGACTTGACTTTCAGAAGTCCTACTGAAAAGCTTCATTGGTCTGCATGCAACTTTCACAATAACTAATTTCAGTGGACCACACATCTGAGCTTTAGTATTCCAAATATGCATAAGATCTGACACATGATTTTTCCTTATGACAGTTACCCATTTGTAAAATAAAGATAGTAGCAAGTCACAAAAAGGAACAATAATGAATACATTAAAGTTTAATGATTAATATGATGGAAGCCACAGGAAGTATTACAATAGATCTGCTGAACTGCT